GCCAGAATAACTTGACTAGAACACTTTAAAAGTCAGTAACATCCAGTGATCTCTACTTACATCACTATACTTGGCACCTTCACACCATTGCATTAATTACAGTTCAACTCAGTGCCAACACCTTCACAGAAGTACACAGCCATTTTCCACCTCTTACCACAAACTGGTATTTTTAATATCTTGCCCAAACCTTGACTTTATTCCATTCTTCCCGCCTCTAAATTCCTCCATTGCCTTCATGCTTGATTCATCCGCATGCACAACCCTTGGGAAAACCAGTCCTAAACTCCCCTGATAGTGCCTTCAGAACTATGAGATCAACAGAGGCCACAACACTTTTGGATTAACTCTCACCACTCACGTTCACTTCTCGCCGCTTAATTCTGGTGGTTTTTGTTTCAACAATATCATAATAATCAATTTCAAGCATGTTCAAGTAATAACTTTCTATTTCCATTATACTACTTCTGCATGGTCTTCCTGTCATGTACCTCTAAGTCTACAACACAGTACAGCTTCCTTTCCCAGATATATATAGGTTATTGGGCCATAAATATTACCTGCACTTTAGAAACCCATACCTGAAGACATGAATTGTTCGTATTTTCACAAATTTCATAACTTGACCGTAATAACTTCAGGCCCCTGTAGTCCTCTGCTCAAATGCATCACTTTATCTCTTATAAATTAGCTTATCCTCTTGTCATGTAAAATAGTCTCTGTATCAAAAATCCTAGATGAGCATTTGTCCCAATATGCACTGAATCGGGGTTTCTGTCTATGCTTTTGTCCCTCTGCCTCTGAAAACGGTAGATGCTCACGTTCTTGTGACAAAGTTAATGTATTCCGCTAATACGCATCCTCTTCAAACTTTACCTTGTAAATCTCTTCTGGTTGACTGACTCAGCTTTGGCCTCCAGGACCTCCTTGTCACATCCATCTCCAGGTGGTCTTACATGATCTTTTTTCACCATATCTTTGTATTACTTCTATCATTCCACCACCAGGCTACATTGTATGCCTGGCTTGCTACATGACCTTTGTCTGCTTCAATTTCAGAAGAATATTACGCAGGCCGTCGCTCAGCATCTGCAACACTACCCTCACACTGTTACTGGCCATTCTACTCTCCTTAACATAACATAAAAATATCTCCGTAAAGAACATACACCTTTCCCCACATCTTTTACAACATGTCACATTAATAAGCTAATCTGTGGCAACAGTCCTCCTTGTTATAACCTGACTTATAAGATAATCAACTACACACCTCTTCCATTTATTTTTAACATTTACCCCAACAAGATCTATTCTAAAAAGAATAGCATCCTGGCAATGTGTATCTTGCGGCCTAAATGGAAAATAATGTAAGTAGGTGCCAACACTTCCACAAATAAGAAGCCTGTGAGCTAAAAAAATTCTTGCTAAAACATCTAAATACTGTATCTTTATATGTATTATGCCAGAAAAATATACAATTCCACTACTTTGGGTACTTTGTTGCCCACCAGAATCGAGGGCGACTTATTATCTAGCTATGATACAATGATATGAGCTATTATGCTCTTAGCCACCTTGTTGGTGAATTCTGAGGTGACCTGAGAAAGCACAGGGACCGTACGCCCACAGATGTTGCTGCATCGGTAGAGGGCTACATTCAGTGCGGAAGGCAAAAAGTAATCGCCGAAAGTATTGACACCTTTCGTATGTGGTGTCTCCGTTGCTACGGTGAAGTACCATTCTAGGTGAGTGAGGGTCGACGGTATTTTTTCAGTTTTGTCTTAAGTCTATCCTTATACCTTGCCTATTGCCAACCAGTATCACACATTCAAAGACATTTTCTTAAAAAGGATAGGATATGACCATATAAAAATCCTGCTAAAATATAATGAAACTGCCTTTATTTAATGCCCAATATCTATTACCATTTATAATCATCACTTTAGTATTTCAGATCGCCTCTGGTAATTTCGTTTCAATAATCAGTTGATCCCGCTTGTTAACGGTAGTTGTTTGCGTTTCAACCTGACCATCCCAGATCATCAATGTTGATGTTGATCTGTTTCAGTTCTTGTTGCCCACGCAGAGTCCCAGTGACTTTGGCTGAAGTTTTCTGGTGAATCGCGAAGCCATTTGCCAGAACAATTGATTCAATGATGTGTGGCCTGGTGAAGAACTGCTTACGTCGCTTTTCCTCTCCTGCTGGTGGGACACTATATTACTTTAAACTAATCACAGCTAAGCATGAGGGAGGCGATGGCGGTCTAATTTACAGTCCGACACGCTATGACGTCACTGATATATATATATATATATATATATATATATATATATATATATATATATATATATATATATATATATATATATATATATATATATATATATATATATATATATATATATATATATATATATATATATATATATATATATATATATATATATATATATATATATATATATATATATATATATATATATATATATATATATATATATAAATCACTGGTTCTGGTCCCACTTACGTTTCCTATCGCCATAAACTTGCAAACAGATTGCTCACTTTTTGCTGGAGATCTGGCTGGCGAGGCAGCGCCATTTTTGGGATCCAAATTCATGCGTTGTGTGTTTATTGTGGTAGTGTGTGTTTGTTTGCGATCAGTGGCGTTATATGGGTTCGGACTGTAATGGGCCATGACCTCCCTCCGCTGCAGCTGTGATTGTTTAGGTATTACGGTCACCTGGTGGAGGAAAGGCGGCGCGACCACGGAAGTTTCATCCCCCAGGCCATACCGTGTATAGTGGATTCATTGTTTTGTAAATGGCTTCACGGTTGCGCCGCCAGGAGAGAACTTTCTACCTGGACCCGCCTGGCTAAAGAGAACCGGCGTTCTTGCTAATGAGTTGTATAGATCATACAAGAGTTGGTAGTAGATGTACAGGTTGATCTAGCGCTCCATATGGTATTTATGAGTTCTGATCAGGACAATTAGATGATGGTTAAGATAAAGGATAATATAACATCTAGAAGTCTACAGGTGCTTCATGATCAAGTATTGCCAGCAACAGGTGCTTCTAAGACAGGAAAAATTATTTGTGAGGCTAATTGGCGCGCTGTTGTATACATTTTGTTGGCGGTGGATTCGCTTTTGTTAAGGAGTATGCCGAACTGTGGCTTCAGTGTCACGAAGATGTGGAATTACAGAGCCCAAACCCTTTAATGCTTCCTCTGGGTGGTTGTGAGGTTGAAGAAACAAGATCACAATATCAGCATTGGTGGTGTAGTTTCTGCTGGCCGTGTTTGAGGAATTCTCCGTCGGAGATTATGGACAGTACAATCGGCGACCTTGTTTAACATGGACGAATCTGGTCTTTTGGAAAACTACCCAAGACCTTAGGGAAGAATGCCAGTGTGTCGGGGCGGTGTTGTTGAAGGAGTGCATCACCGTTTTAGCACCAATGCCTCCGGTACCAGTCAGATCCACACGACGCAGTTTATAGCCTGATAAGAGCGATGGACCACAATGTCTACCTTGCGTAGAAGGCGGGATGTTCTACACTGTCCTCCTGGTTTGATGACTGTTTTGTTCCGTGCGAAGAAATTCTGTATAGAATGTGCTATTTAAGATTTTGTTGCTGCTGGACAACGCAGGACACTCGCCCTACTGTTAGATCGTCACCCTAACGAAGTGGTCTTCTCCCAACACTGGCCTATATTATGTTTCATGACCCGAAGAGTTAATCTGTTATATAAAAGCTGCATTCTCATTAAAAATCAGCTCTGAGCGTTTCAACCAACACTAAGGAAGAGTTAGAACTCTGAAAGTATACCAAATAATCGATAGCGAGCGAAGACGACGAGGATCAACTATTATGGAAGTACTTTTAAAACAATTGTGAACATTCAACGTCAAGAAAGTACTGGTGGAGGCATGATCAGCTGTCTGTAGCAACTGTTTACACGGAAGTAAATAACGGAGGAGAGTAAATCTGTGACTGGTGAGGTTCAGATTGTGGCAGTAGTGGACTCACAGTAGCCAAGAGAGTGCTGCTAGCCAGGAGCCCGAGACCACCAGCGACTTACTCTGACAAGTATAGACCGATGTGACTACCGACGAAGGTAGATGATGATGACGTTAGTGAAGGGCAGGTGCGCCATTCCAAGAAGAACGCCGCTATCCCATAGTAATGTTAGGGGTGCCATCGAAAGTGTATCGAGAAAGCCAAGCTCCTCCTTTCCAATCTAATCTGACGTAAACAGGTATGAAATCTTCACTACCCAACTGTTGCAGACTATGAGCCCTACATCAAGGTTTATCACGACAATAAACACCAGCCATCAGCAGCATAACAGAGTTTTTCCAACCCACCACAAAGCCAGCCCAAGCCAGTGATAATGACAGAGGTAGAGACAGTGATGATGACTTTGAGGGATTGTCAGGAGGCACTAGGTGTGGATGACACCATGAAGACTCACCTGAGGGCCAGTAGCCTGCCCTCTGCGAACCAGCCTCCAGTCCCCACGCCACCCATCTCCTACTAACGGAAGTAACCCCAACCTTGTTTTTTTTAACCTAACCTCAGTTTATTCTTTTCTTATTGACTGTTCCTCTATATTATGTGTGGGTGAATACCATCATAAAGTTAAGAGGTTATTTTAGTAAAGCGTACGTGTTAGTCTGGAAAAGGGAGTCGGGGCCTGTCTCAATAATCCCATGTTATGTTGTTCACTCACGCTTCTCTCCACGCCGAGCAGCCTGAATTAACATCAGAAAGTGAGCTGCTCACTGTACTATATATATATATATATATATATATATATATATATATGTGTGTGTGTGTGTGTGTGTGTGTGTGTGTGTGTGTGTGTGTGTGTGTGTGTGTGTACTTGGAAAGAAATATAATTTCTCAGTATAAGTATAGTACAGTATAGAATAATGAGGGTTTAGATCATCACAAGTTCACCATCAGTATAGACACACCAGAATTTAGCATACAAGGATTGAGCACGTTGAGAACGGCTTCTACTTCTGGGGTCAAGAAAGGACGCACAGATCTATATCCTCGGATCCGCTCCGCACAGTTCTGGCCTGAAAGACAAGGCACAGTAATAACATTATACTAAAACATTATTCTAATGAATGCGAAGATATCAGAATGTACAATATAAAGAAAACTATAAAGAAATGCACATGTTACTATACAGTATTCAACCTGCACAAATTGGCACACCACTATATCAATGCTTATCTAATCATAGCCTTTAATATAAATTAAAGGCTTAAACACAGTAAAGATTCTCTTGCTGGGTGTATACATTACTTTCATCAGCAATGGGCTCCCACTGAGTTCTTAATGATCACAGCACTTTTTAATTGAAATTAATCTTGAACTCATAGCTATCAGTGTAAACAAGGACTTGGTATAAAGAGCTAAATTATTTTACTGGCAACACTTAGTTTAATTATTGTGCAGAGGAGGCCTTCATAGAAATATGTTTAAATACAGTACAGTACAGTACTGTACTGTGTACAGTATGGTATGGTATGATATATCATTTCACAATTTAAGCTAGTATGGGGTCAACTTATCAGGTACTATACAGCCTCTTCCACTTCCAACAGGTACAGTCAGTGTTGTCAATCCTCCCTCTGGCGCGGTGAACCCTGGCAGTATTGACTCATCAACCCAAAACATTCACTTAGTGAGCGGAGCTGTTTGGGGCTGTGGTTGGTGAGGCATGGGGGGGTTGAGGAAAGTCAGAGTGTAGGGGGACTAGAGGGGTGGGAGAGGGCTAAGGAGTTATCTGTGCAGCTTACAATGCAGTACTGTATATATTAATTAAGCAAGGATATAAAAATGTAAGACAAAACCAAATTATGAGTAGAATATGTTATTGCACATTAGGGTGGCATTTTGCGAGCTTGTACTACAGGTCTTGACCATTCTATGCATATTTAATGACCAGAATTTATGAGATAATTCCCATTGTGATAACACAACAGCCTCCCAAAGTCGCACACACATGCATAGGTCATGCTGTATTTCCCCAAGTCTTTCCCTCCTCCTGCTGAAACCTAAGCAACTGTCACTTACCCAGGAATGACAGGGGAATGGGCTGGGGCCTCTATATGGTGTCTGTTACAATGAGGTTGCAGTTATGACCCAGTGAATACCAAATTAATTGTAATTTAATTACAATTGCTTCATTATAGTAATACACCTCTCCCGATGACTAACCACCACACTGCTCAGTCTGTAATGACCATCCGCAAATACGACTGCATTACGGACCAAAAAATTTTCAAATGATGTCGATTTTCTATACCAACGTTTGCCCCGAGAGTTGCGTGTTTGGTAACCTGTGGAGTGCTTAGGTTGGTGTTAATCTAACTGTTTGCAGTACTAACATTATTTCTATATTTAATTGACTTAGAATGACTGGAAAGATGAAGAAAGACAGTCAATTACTTTTGAGACGAAAATGAAGATAATAATGCGAAGATGGAAAAATGGCATCAATTTCATGAGACCTAGGCTTTCAGACTCGACCGTATCCACTATTCTGAAGGAAAAGGAACGATTCGTGATGTAGTAGGATCAGCACTTAAAGGGAACTATAATAACGAAGAAAGACAAGGTCCCATTCACGACATGGAAAAATTACTTGTGATATGGATAGACCAGACACAGAAGATGAATTTAGCTTTAAGACCTTACAGGCTTTCGAACAGGCAAGAAGCCTTTTTGAAAGCCTGAAGGAGCAGGCAGGAGATGAGGCACCAAACCTTCACAGCAAGTCATGGATGGTTTAACAGATTGAAGAACCGCTACAGTTTACATAATGTTAAAATGAGTGGAGAGGCAACTAGTGCTGATGTTGTTGCTGCTGAAGCTTTTAAGGAGCTAGATCGTGTGATTGTGGAAGGAAATTATTTGCCTGAACAAATATTCAATGAGGATGAAACTGGATTATTATGGAAGCGCATGCCTGAACGGACATACATCCAGAAAGAGGCTAAACAATGCCAGGATTCAAGGCATTCCAGGACCGAATACACTTCTGTTGGGGAGGAATGTAGCTGGTTTCAAGTCAAAGCCCTTTATGATCTATCATTCAAAGAACCCCAGGCTTACCAAGCACACACTGCCAGTGTTTTTATTGCAGTAACGAAAGCATGGATGACCCTAGTACTGTTTGAGGATTGGTTCATGACTTGTTTCATTCCACGAGCCAAGAGTATTGTCTGCAACAAGGGATTGCATTCAAGATTTGTTAATTTGGGATAATGATCCGGGAACCCACCACACCTGGACGACATGCACCCTGATGTTAAGGTACTCTACATTCCACCTAACACTACCTCTGTCATCCAACCCATGTATCAAGGATTGCAGCTTTTAAAGCTAATTATTTATCACCTTCACTCTGCTGCTACTAAAGGAAAACGCCAGAAAGTGAAGGACTACAACATTTTAACATGTATTTATAGAGAACATTAATGCAGCATGGGATGAGGTTAGAACAGTGCATGAATGGAATATGGAAGAAAGTCCTGAAAAGATATGTGAACAGTTTCAGAGAATTTAATGAAGATGAAGTAATTTCTGAGATTAGTAACAAGAGGTGGAAAACAGCTTGAGTTAGAAATTGATAATGAAGATGTTGAACAGTTGAAGAAGTAAGCAGAAGAGCTGTTACGAGGATTTTATCGAACTGGCACAGAAAATGCATAGGAAGAAGAAAGTCTAAATGTAGAAGAAGAACTCAAAAATTTTTTCAGTGAAGCATATGGCAGAGGCATCTGCTACTATTAATGGGGATGTAAATGTTTGACGAAATGGATCAAAATGTCGGTTTTGGCAGTTGACAGAATGATCCAAGATGCACTAGCTACAGGAAATTTACAAATGAAAAGATAAGAAATGTGCAGTCTAAATTGACATATATTAAGAAGTCCCACTGTTGTCTCCTCACGCCCCACCAGTGCTGCCTCTTTACTCCCTAAAGATGATCCAATACGTTCAACAAGCACGACCTTGAATGTTAACCTGTCTGAAGAAAGCGACATTGATGACCCACCCAGCCCTGTCTCCTCCTCTGCGGGTGGTCGTATGTCGAGTAGGTCAAATATATATATATATATATATATATATATATATATATATATATATATATATATATATATATATATATATATATATATATATATATATATATATATATATATTGATAAAATCACACAGGGAAAAGAGAAACGATGGAGCACCTTAGCTTTCGTCTTTATTCAAGACATCTTCAGAGGCAACTGAATTACAAAGACTGAGAGAGAGCTTATGTACACAGGGTGACCTTACACAGTATTTATGGTCTACAATCTGTCACCATACAGTATATGGTTTACTTATGTCTTCAGACAGGAGACCCCATTCACAAGTTACGACTGTACAGTGCATCCTCGTATAATGTTGTCCCGCTTAACGTTGTTTCAGCACTACTGTACGTCGCTAAACTTTAGAGACCAAAAATTTGTTTAACGTCCCGGGGATCCGTTACTACGTCGTTTAGCGTCGTCACGAACTACTTTCTACGGTGTATCACCCGCTCGTCTGGCCGCACTACGCTCTCTCGGCTCGGTGCGCTGCCCTCACTCGCGGACATCACAGTGTCCCCAAGCAATGCCAAGCTACTAATCTCTGTTACTTCACATCATTCCTGTGTGCTCAAGTGCTTTTGCTCTTAAACTGTACTATAACCATTCGAAATGGCTTCCAAGCGCCCATCTACTGATGCTAGTGCAGTGAAGAGGCAACATAAGACCATTACCTTGCTACGAAACTGGATGTATTAACCCGATTTGAAAAAGGGGAACGCAATGTGGACATAGCCGCTGTGCTTGGTCTAACCCCCCACAACAGTGCGTACTATCCAAACCAACGCGGACAAGATTAAGGTTAGTGCTGGAAGTGCTACTACTCTCAGTGCTACTAAAACAACTTGTACTAGAAGTACTGTGATCGGAAAAGGGGAAAAGATGCTGGCTATGTGGATGGAAGACCAGAATCAACGCAATGCACCAGTGAGCCTTATGGTTATCCAGCATAAGGCCAGATCCTTGTTTGACGACATAAAGGAAGAAGAGGGTGAAGGATCGAAGGAAGAGACCTTTACGGCCAGCCGTATAACTTCCACAATATTAAGATGACTGGTGAAGCTGCCAGTTCAGATACGGATGCTGCCGAGACATTCCCGCCAGAATTCAAACAGATTATCCAGGAAGGAGGATACTCATCGAAGCAAGTCTTCAATGTGGATGAGACTGGTTTCTTTTGGAAGAGGATGACTGAGAGCACCTATATCTCCAAGGAGGAGAAAAGAGCGCCAGGTTTTAAAGTGGCAAAAGACCGCTTGACGCTGCTGCTTGGTGCAAACGATGCCGGCGACTTCAAGCAGAAGCCGATGTCGATTTCTCGTGCTGCTAACCCACAGGCCCTGTCATTTACAAGGCAAACAAAAACGCATGGATATCCAGCGCCATATTTAGCCAGTGGTTAAACGTGTACGCCGTCCCTGCAATGAAGGAATACTGTGCCAAGGAGAACCTTGACTTCAAAATTCTTCTGATTGTTGACAATGCTCCAGCTCATCCTCTCAATCTCGACGACTTGCATGAGTGTAAAAGTTGTATTCCTGCCTCCCAACACGACAGCACTGATGCAGCCTATGGACCAAGGCGTCATTGCTGCATTCAAGGCATATTATTTACTCTGTACCATGGCCCAGCTGCTCAAGGCTACAGACGGAAATAATAAACCTACGATCCAAGAATATTGGCGTGGCTTCAACATTCTTCATGCAATTGACAACATTGGCAAGGCATGGGAAGAGGTTTCAGAAAGTTGCCTGAATGGTGTGTGGCATAAATTGTGGTCCGAGTGCGTCAACAATTTTACGGATTCACGGACTTAGTCCCAGCTGTGAACAGGGATATCCTCAGCTTGGCGAGACAGGCAGGCTTTGATGAGCTGGAATCAGAGGATATTGAGGACGTCC